GTGCAACGCCCCTACTAGTACGAGCCAGAGGATGACGTTGGACGAAGGAATCGATGGTGAGTCTAGGGTTGAGGGGTTTAGGGGTTTAGGGCTCTGGGAGTTTAGGGTTTAGAGTTTAGGGTTTAGAGTTTAGGGGTTTAGGGTTTAGGGGTTTAGGGGTTTTGGGTTTAAGGCTCAGGGTTCTACCAGAAGCCCTATACCCTCAACCCTGAGATGCCAATTTGCCCCTTGCTTTGCACTCTGCACTTTGCACGTTACTGGAGCCTCCGCAGAGTCTAGCACGCGCAAGCCTAACCCTACCCTCAAAGGACTCATATTTTAAGGCTTCTGGGCCTAAAGACACTATTATATAAGGCTTTTGGGCTGTTTTGATGCTAAGGGTAAGGCACAGGAAGCATCAAGGAAGCCCTCATGCTCGTCCTCAGTAAGGGCTTCATAAGGGTCTAGAAGGTCTCAGCCCCAAGAGGGTTTTGGGCTTAGGGTTTAGGGTTTAGGGGTTTAGGGTTTAGGGCCCTAAACCCTAAACCCTCAACCCTCAACCCTCTACGCTAAACCCTAAACCCCATACCCTAAACTAAACCCTATACCCTAAACCCTAAACCCCTTGAGCCATCTTAAAGGCGGACGAAGCTGCAGCCGGCGAGCCCATGGAATCCATCGGCTGGGGGGCCCAGATGGCAGGGGCCAGGTCTTTTAGACTTTTAGAATGTAGATTTTTATGTTAGGGTTTAGGGTTTAGGGTTTAGGGTGTTTATGTTTAGGGCTTCATTGTTGTTGGGTCTAGGGATGTAGGGGTTTAGGGTTTGAGGGTTTATGGCTTTGGGGTTGAAGGTTTACGGTTTAGGGGTTGAGGGGTTTAGGCCGGCAATCTCGCACAGCAGTTGCTCTGTTGTGACTTCCAGCTGGAGTAGGTCTGGAAAACGCTTCTGCACCCGAAGCCCGAAGCCCCAAACGGTTAATCCTGGGTTCAGGGTGAACTCCAGCGAGTTCCAAACCTAGATGTGAACCTCGAAGGGCGCACAAGTATAGAAACTTGATAGCACCACCCCCAACCCTAGGCCCTAAACCCGAAACCCGGTAAACCCTAAACCAAATCATTGTGGCATGGTTGGTAAGCCTAGCGCTTAGCCCCGAAGCCGTCAGTTGGAGCCTTAAACCTTTGGAGCCGTAAATCCTCAACACCTAAAGCCCCAAAGCCCTAAACCCTAGACCCCTAAGGTCCTAAGGCCCTGAAGCTCTTAAGCCCTAACACCTAAACCCCAAAGCCCTGAAATCTTAACCTTTGCCCTAAAGCCCTACCTTAAACCCTAAACTCTGAAGCCCTGTTCCGTTCTAAACCCTAAGCCCTAAACCCTAAACCCTAAACCCTAGACCCTAAACCCTAAACCCTAAACCCTAAACCCTGAAGCCCTGCTCCGTTCGGATTTCAGGGCAGCCCCAGAACGGCACAGCGGCGGCAGCACCAGAGACGCCATCCGAGGCAGGGTCTCGCTCTGAGCTTTCAGGTGTTGTTGGGTTCAGGTTTAGGGTGTATGATTTTAGGGGGATTAGGGTGCCGTATGAATTTGGGGTTTAGGGTTTATGATTTTAGGGTTTAGGGGGGTTTAGGGTTTATGATTTTAGGGTTTTGGGTTTAGGGTTCAAGGTTGATTAAGGGCTTTCGAGCTTGAGGCTAAACCTAAACCCTAAACCCTAAACCCTAAACCCTAAACCCTTCAGAGCTTGAGGGTTTCTTGGTTTGGGGTCTAGAGCCTTTGAGATTCAGGGTTGAGACCTTGGTGAGACTGCTTAGGGGTTTAGGGGTTTAGGGTTTAGGGTTTAGGGTTTAGGGTTTAGGGCTGTAGAGGTCGCAATCCGATATAGTACATGATTTGGGGGGTTTCAGGTTTAGGTTTGGGGTTTAGGGTTATAGAAGTGGACACGTGTCGGGTTGAGGCTTCATGAGTTGAAAGGTATTTAGGACGGGGAGAAGCAGCGGTGGGTTTAGTAGTGTTGTGTTTTTGAGTCTGGGCTCGGGGCACAGGGCAAAGCCTACACTTACTCCTAACTTGACAGAGTGAAGCCCTAAACCACCACACGACACTCGACAGAGGTTGCGCCGACTGAGACTGCCATGGCGATGCCAACAGAGGCCGTTGAGAATCGGAATTCGGGGAGTCTGCACGAGGGTTTAGTCTGCACGGGATCTAGGGGTTGAGGCTCGATACGGGTTCTGCTTGCAATGTAGAAGTCTCGGCAATTAATTGGTAAACATGTGCCCAAGGCCTTTTGGTTTCTCCGCTCATACGACAACAGAACCGAAACACGTACTGTAGAACCCTGCAATCACCCCCGTTTTCACGAACCCTATCTTTTCTCACCCCATTTTGAAGTCTTTTCAACGCCCTAGATGAGAGACCATTGCCTTGTGAGAAGCTCCCAGCGGCCAAGGGTTACTGGTGCCTTAGGAACTACAGAAGGCGGTTCCTTTAGGACGTGTTCAGGTTTGGGCAATGATAAAGGGGCTTCACACACTTAGACTAAGAAGGATATATGATTATTGATTCTTCAGGCACTTTATGAATTTAATAAATTAAATTAATCAAATTGGGTGGAAATCTCCAGATTCCCTTAGCCTTTGGCGCTGGATTCCAAGCAATTTATATAAATAAGCCTAAACCCTAAACTTGTGGTAAAATAATCACATGCTAAGCCTAAGTCCGAGCCCAGCTGCCTAAACAACAAAAACCGAAGAGCCCTTGAATAGCCCTACATGCGGATTATTGGGACAGACCCTGCTCAGGTTGTTTTGTTGCCTAACTCAGAGCTCGTGGTTGAAGCAGTGTTGGGTGTTGAGCTTCCGAGTCTTCTTTGGTGTCAGATTCAACCTGAGATTTTACATCTCTCGATGGTCGCCAGGGTCAATTTTGGTATGGCTGTTGTAGTTTTGCATCATGACCACCATTGCGAGTTTCGGTAGTCAGAACCATCATTACCATCGTCATTGTCGTCGCCGTCCTCGTCGTCGACACCGTCATCCTCCTACCAGGACACCCAACAACTACTCCTGGCGCTACTATTATTCCTACCACTACCGCTGCCGCATACAGCAACTGGTACGCCTACGTACTCCACTTCGACTCCGACTCCTCCTACTCCTACTGCTACTCCTACTCCTCCTCGCGCTCCTGCTCCACCTCGGTTCTTCATTCTTGCACAAGAGCCTTTTAGATTTGGAGCATGGCCATCGTCTGCTCAACACTGCCGCTGCCCAGTTTTTTAAAGGTTCGAGAACCATGCCTGAGCAAAGACTTCTCCTTGTGTTCATCTTTCCTGCAGAACCGTGCTGTTGATACCATATCGTGGGTTATTTGACAGGTACTTGACGATGAACCGCCTCTGAGCAGTAAACCCAAGATGCAATGCAACACCTCAGCTCTGCTAATCCACTCATCCATGTCCAAACCCTAAACTCTAAGGCTGCCAAGCCTTGATGCCTACCAAAACAGCCCTTACCTAGCAGATGCCATTGTTACCAGCCCTTTGTAGACCCTAAACCCCAAACCCGAATTAAAAAAACCTAAACCCTAAACCCCACACCCTAAACCCTAAACCCTAATCCCTAAACTCTAAACTCTAAACCCTAAACCCTAAACCCTAAACCCTAAACCCCAAACCCCAAGCCTTATGGCCCATGGCTACCCGGGCCCTGTGGGCACGTGGACGTCGGGGCGATGCCGTGCCGAGATCCTGGGCCGGAGGACTCGGTTCTGGGTTGCTATAGAGGGTTTAGGGTTTAGCGTAGCTTAGGGTAGGGGGTTTAGGGTTTAGGTTAGGGTGTAGGGTTTAGGGTTTAGGGGTTTAGGGTTTAGGGTTTAGGGTTTAGGGTAGGGGGTTTAAAGGGATTCGGTTTTGGGTTACTATAGAGGGTTTAGGGTTTAGGGTAACTTAGGGTAGGGGGTTTAGAGGGATTCGGCTTTGGGCTACTATAGAGGGTTTAGGGTTTGGGGTAGTTTAGGGTAGGGGGTTTAATTTCAAAGGGATTCGGGGGGCACAAATACTTGCCACAACTATTTTAGGGGTTTCGGGTTACTTAAGTTCTGTAAGTTATAACGTTGTAACTATAGTATAATCTACGTCTTCGTAGCTTTGGGGCCTTGAGGCGACGGGTGCCTTTGAAGGGAATCTTGCGGGTTCTGTGAAAAGAAGGGTTGCGAGAAGATTACTTGAATGTTCTAAGCTTGATGTTAGTAGTGCTGTAAAGGGTTCTGGGTACTGTCAGGGTTCTGTAAGGGTACTGCTAGGGTTCTACAACGGCTACGAGAAGGGCTTAGGATCGAGCCATTTATGAGGCCCCAGCCAAGAGCGCCAATGTTTTCAATGTTGTTGCTATCGTTGATACGGGTTCTAGAATCAGAATGAACACTTTATGAGAAGGGGTCATGGCCTAGGGTGTAGAGTTTTACTTTGAGCTACTCTCGCGGTGTTAGGGAAGCGTGCTACAGGTGGGGTTTGTATTGATCCACACGTGGGCACATCTTTTGTCTTCGCTGATCCTTGAAGTGTAATGTAAGATTTAGAATACAGTAGAAGCCAAAAAGTTTGATATCCAACAGCCTCAATCCTGAAGAGCAATGTATAGGGATTCCCATCACAAATTGTCCTTCATCCGGTTTCCAACTTTCTGGGGTTTACTACAGGGAGGTGGGGTACATTATAATATAATCATCATGAGGAGCCCCCGAAATAGTATAGGTAAGATACTAACCCTAAACCCTACACCCTAAACCCTAAACCCTAAACCCTAAACCCTAAACCCTACCCTGAAACATGCAAGTCTGGAGCCCGACGAATCCCCAAACACATACGAAAACCCCAAGTTTTTTGGGTTTAGGGTTTAGGGTTTAAGGAGTTTAGGGTTGGTTTAAGGAGTTTAGGGTTTAGGGTTTAAGGAGTTTAGGGTTTAGGGTTTAGGGTTGAAGGAGTTTAGGGTTCAGGGCTTCGGGTTCGACCTTTTGCAGGAATATTGGTAGCTCGCATGTTGAGTACCAGATCGGCGTGTCCGCGACTCAGAGGGGGTTTCGCCAGAGGCGTCGGCTCAGCGTTTAGGGCTTCGTTGACTGACGGTTTGGGGTTTAGGGTCAAGGGGTTTAGGGTTTAGGGTTTCTGGTTTAGGGGTCAGTACCTAAAGCCTAAACCCTAAACCCTAAACCCTGGGGTCGGCGCTGTCCCATGCTGGAGTTGGTTGGCAACCTGATTTGTCAAGCAGGCCAGGCCCTGTATCAAAGTCCTCCCAAGCCTCAAGGTAATATGGAGGCCTTAATAACTACTTATACTATTTTGGGTGTTCCTAATTATATTTATAGTATAATGGGCCTCCAAACTCTATTCTCATGATTAAGGCCCCTATATTATCTCAAATCGCAAAAACCTTGAGCTCGGTTTCGGCAGCAGACCCGGAATGGATCGGAGGATCTTCAGCAATATCAGCCCTGCAGCCCAAACAAACCTTGAAGCACGATCCAAGGGCCCTACATCCAAACCTAACCTACTCTTTCAATCATTACCATGACAGAACCTAGGATTATGAGGCCATAGCCGATTCCCAATACCTGCAGCCACCCCCTGTTGTCGTGAGCAGGAAAGGAATCACTGGGCTCGAAAGGCTACAAAATGACCCCCTCACTTCAACAAAGCTCGAAAGGGTCGGAGCAGCACTGCAACGTCCAACCTAATCCAGGTCTCTGTCCCTCTCCCCCTGGTGTAGTCGCTAGACGGCTGAACCTTCATAAAGAGTCACAGAGACCGCTTGTAAACTCCCGAAATATCCGATATGCACACCCGCTCACCCAGAGCGCACGTCATATAAATGCCAGATAGATACGCGCATGAAGCACTTTCAGACCTGTCTTGAACCCCTTGTAAAGCGCGTAGAAGAGCCGTGAAACCCGAAACTCCGGGAGTGTCGAACTGGAACCCTCGACGAATGAGATCGTGAGTACAAGGCTTCTAGGTCTTTCACGTGGCCGGAGAGGGTTTCATACGGCTATATCAGGTCCCCTGAACCCAAAATCCAAAACCCAAAACCCTAAACCCTAAACCCTAAACCCTATAAACCCTAAACCCAAAACCGCAGACATCCCCAGACCTTCAGAGACCCTTGTCGCAATTTGCCTACTACCCTAAGCCCTACGACCCTAGGCGTTCCCCTAAACCGCAGGGCTTCAACGCCAGATCCCCAAAGATCTACACCACCCCTACAGACCTTACAAAGCCCTTGCGCAACCTAGCCATGGTCCGATACAGACTTTACACATCTCTATACGCCAACATCATACGCTCCTTCAAACCCCACGATGGACATGAACTCTTCAACACGACGTAGCCTTTTTAAAGCCCTCTACTGGGATCCCCTGCTTGGACCCTGAGCCCTAAACTCCTAAACCTAGACTCAGCACCCCCCAAAACGGCCCGAAACCCGAACTTCTAAAACCCCCAGACCTGCTTCTTAGCCCCCAAACCCTAAACCCTAAGCACTAAACTCTAAACTCTAAACCCCTAAACCCCGAACCCCTATAACCCCCAACCCCTAAACCCTAAACCCTAAACCCTAAACCCTAACCCCTAACCCCCAACCCCCAAACCCTAAACCCTCTTAGGAAGGCCGAGGACGGCGGCGAGTGGGTGGTCTCCCGCCGCTACCGCGAGTTTCAGAGCCTCCAGGCCTCGGCTTCGGGTTTAGGGTTTAGGGTTTAGGGTTTAGGGTTGAGGGTTTAGGGTTTAGGGTTTAGGGTTTGGGGTTTAGGGTTTAGGGTTTAGGGTTTAGGGTTTCGGGGCGGGGATCAAGGGGCTTAATCTGGGGTGAGGGTTTGGGGTTTTAGGGTTTAGGGGTTTAGATTTGGGCTGCGGGCTTAGGGTTCAGGGCCAGGATTGAGTCGCAAGGTTTGGGGGTTTGGGGGAAGGGGATCAAGGGGCTTAATACAGGGGCCTTAATAATTAGAATGGGGTTTTGGGGTTCCTTTACAGGGTTCCTCGAAGGGCTCTATAAGGGCTACTATAAGGGTGAGGGTTTAGGGGCCTTAATACTTATTAGAATAGGGTTTTGGGGCCCATTATACTATATTTTTAATAAGGAGCTCCAAAAATAGTATAGGTAATTATTTAGGGGCGGGGATCAGTTTAGGGACCCAAAAAGGACATAGGCAATTTATGGGGATTTCCCTACCCTATTGGGCTTCATTGTACGGGGGGTTTATATGCGATATCCAATCCTAATTTTTGCTTGTGTGTTTGTGTGTGGCCACATTCTGGGGGGCTCAAGGGGCTTAGGGTTCAGGGCCAGGGTTGAGCCGAAGGCTGGGGATTTAGATTTGGGGCTTGGGGTGTAGGGTTTTAGGGTTTAGGGTTTAGAGTCTAGGGTTCAGCGGTTCAGCCGAGGACAGTGACAAAGAGCCGCAGAAAGGGCAACAAGGGTCTCTAGGCTGTCGGGTCGGGTCTGTGGCGCCGGCTTTGTCTTCCCTGAGGTGAGCGATGGTTTAAGCTTTTGAGAATCGCAAGGAACCCCCAAACCCGACATACTCCAGAGCCGGACGCCCGAAGCCGTACACCAGTCTCCCCCACCTCCGGATCCTTGGCTCCCAAATGAAACAAAAAAGCCCAGCCCCTGAACCCTCAATCACAAGAACACCCGCAAAACCCTTAGAGAACCCTTGTAGTAACTCCTGGGACTCCAACCCATTGACATGCCAGGCTTCCCTACGCGCGGTGGCCGCTCCTCCGCCCTTGCCGGAAAGGCGGGCGCGAGGGTCAGAAGGCTGCGAAAGATCAACCTAATCCTAAACGGTTTAGGGTTTAGGGTTTAGGGCCACCTGACACACACCCTGAAACCCTAAGCCTTTTAGCATTCCCATGCTTGGGGTATAATTGGAGGCCGTTTTCATGGGGGATTTTGCGACTCCATTCTCCGTGATCCTTGCGTTGTTACCGCAGGTCGAGACCGTGCCTGAACCCTTTGTTGCGACTTTCTTGGTGGCTGCCTTCCCTTTTCAAAATATCCTAGTCAACCACAAGACTTGTGAGGATTTTTCCATGGGAGGGTACAGGCTTCATCCGTTTATGAAAAGCCCCCAGTGTAAGGCGAGCTTCAATAGTACGTCTGTGGATGTTCGTTCTGAGCCCCTCGATCCTCAATCTGTAAAGCCTAAACCCCACGCACCAAAGGCTGTCAATGGGGACTGGGTTTGCAACAGCAGGGAGGCTGACTCAAACTCTGCTTGGGTGAAACAGCTAGGTACCCTAAACCTTATAAAACCCTAAACCGGACAGGCGCCAGCCCTCTTTGAAACAAGCAATGGAGGACAGAAGCAATGGAGGACCCAAGTGGTTCGCAACATGGACAGGATAGACCATGGCATGGTTACCGGTATCATTAGGGGTTTGGGTGTAGGGTTTAGGGTTTAGGGTTTAGGGTTTAGGGTTCAGTTGAAGAAGCAAGTGACTGATTGCGAACTGAAGATCAATGCTGCCAAGAAGAGCGCGCACGAAATAGAGCTGCGAAGGTCGCACGTGCTCTGGAAGGAATACAACAACCTCTGAAATGTTCGCCGCTGAACCTTGTGCGAAATTGCCAAGCTACAAGCCGGCCCTCAAAGCAAACAAAGGCGTGGGTTTAGGGTTTAGGGTTTAGGGTTTAGGGTGCAAGAGGCCCAGCGCCAGTGTGAGCCTGACATCCTCCTGCCTTAAACCCCCAAATTCTAAATCCTAACCCCAAAAGCCTAAACCCTAAACCCCCAAACCTTAGATCCTAAACCCCGAAACCCTAAACCCTAAACCCCCCAAACCACAAACAGCGGTGGCTTGAGACCAGCGCTTCGGGCTTTGATTTTGTTGAGCTCAGACCCTTGGAGGGCTGTTAATATAGGGGCCTTAATAATTAGAATATGGTCTTGGGGTCCTTTATAGTTTAATTACAAATAATGAACCCCCCAAAATAATATTGGTAACTATTTTTTAGACCCCTATATTAGGCCGCCTCATGATTGGTTTAAGCTTTAGGATCTGGGGTTCGGGTTTAGAGTTTAGGGCTCAGGGTTGCTCGGCGACCAGGGTATGGCTTTCGGTTAGTCTTTACCACGAAGAGCTTGCTTCAAAGTCGCCGCGTCTTCGAACATACAACCTAAACGCACCCAGACCCAAAACCCTGAACTCTAGCATAAACTACCAAATTTCGACTTTTTGTAAGCTCTTCTATGATGAACTCCAACATAGAGTTTATAGGGACCCCACAAAAAAGGTAGGTTTTGGTGGGGAAAGGTACACGCTAGACCCCTACACTTGAGCCTGCATTGCATCGAAGGCGCTTTCATGGAGCCGGAGCGCTGTTCATGGGGCCCCCCACTGAGGTGGGGCCCATGGTCCAGCGGTTTTGACAGGAAAAAGTCCTTTAGGTGCCTTTCAAGGTTAACTACTCGGTTACTATAATGGCTTCAAAGCTTTAGGGGCTTTTTGTGGAAGGGTAATATCGCACACCATAATGCCTACTGACTATCAGGGTTGTATAGTGTGGCTTTAGGGTTGGGGCTTATAGTGCAATCGGGATTTGCGTTTAGGGTTCAAGAATGTCTATCTAAACCTGGTCTTCCCGGGTGTTGGTTCCGGAACAGAGGTTCCGTTCAGGCTCTGATAGCTTTCCAGCTTGCGCTCAGATGCAAAAGCATAGCAGACCAACATATGGGTAAGTCTCTAAATTAAAGTCCCTTTTTAGGTCCCCAATATAGTACGGCACCCTTATAAAAAGGACCCCCAAAGGCACCCTTTTTTTCCTTACCCATATTGCCTTCAAACAAGGTCTGTGCAACTCGAACCTTCATGGCCTTTTAACACAAAGGCTTAGAGATTAAGGTTATTGCAAGTTCTGTAAGTAGAGTTACAAGTAAGTCCTGAAGACCCCAGCCTAAATCCTCAACCCTAAGCCCCAGACCCTGGAGCTTTCCGCCCTAAGCCATGGGAATTTTAGCTGCAGGAAGAGTGTGAGAGACTACTCCATTGGGGGGGTTCGGGTGAAAGGCGCCAACTGCTACTCCTACTCCTACTCCTACTCCTACTCCTACTCCTTCTACGAATGCTAATGCCGGTTTAGGGCTTAGGGTTTAGGGTCTAGGGTTTTGGGTTTAGGGTTTAGGGTGTAATTCCGAGCAGTTCCTGTTCGTTGGCTCGCCGAACGCACGCTTGCTTTTGACGCATAGCAGCCAATGAAAGCTGCCACGTGGGTAGTTGTCAAAATTATGGTCCCTTTTGGGGTACCCTAAGTAATAGGTGCCGTATTATAACAAGGACCCAAAAAGGGACCATCATTTTGACAACCACCCACGTGAGTGTCCCCCAGAAGAAGCTGTTCGGACCACCGACAGATCACCAGGACCCTCCAAGTACCCTCAAATAGGGGTTTATGGTCCCAAAGAAAGGGTATATAGGGTCTGATAGAGGGTAGATGGAGGGTCTAGGTAAGGATGTGATCCTACTGTTGCTGTTCAGGGCTTACGGCTTACGTACATCACAGTATAGTACATGACATGTTTCGATTTCTGAAGCACCCACCTAAAGTCTAAACTCTACACCCCACACCCTAAACCCTAAACCCTTATAACCTGAAGCCCCAAGCCCTGAGCCGAAATCTTCGGCTTCTTCTGCTCCTTTGCAGGCCTTCCTGGCCGCACGCCAGGCCTGAGAAATGCCACGTTTCAGTTCTTCAAGAGCTCCTTTAAGGGATCACAGGGTTCTAGAAGCCTTCAATAAAGCTTCCAGAAGGGTTCGTTTTTGGGGTTTAGGGCTCCTTCAAGGGTTTGTACAGTTCTACTATAGGGTTCTAGGTATAGGGCATTGTTTCAGTATTTAGGGTTTTTGGCAAGTTGAGGGTTCTATGTTCGGCTTGAAACATTAGCAACATTCTTCCTTATGGCTCCTCAGGATTGAATGCATAGAACAGAAACGCAAAAGCACTCTAGTATGGTCTTTTCAGTTCAGCTTCTGTAGGCCCCCAAAACTTATACCATTAAATCTGCCAGCCTTTATCCAAACTGTAACCGCGAGCGCTTAATAAAGACATCTAAAACCCTAAACCCTGAACCCAAAGCCCTAAAAGCTAAACCCTAAAGGCATAATTAACCCTAAGCCCTGAATCCAAAATCGAGCCCCAATAGACCCTTGCGGAAACCCGGGGTTTGGTGCGTAGAACAAACAAGGAAGCCCACTAAAAGCTCTTATCGAACCGTTACAAGGTAGGGGCAACCGTTACAAGGTAGGGGCCTCATAAATTTCCTATACTACTTTAGGGGGCTGCTTACTATAAGTGTAGCATAAGGGGCCCAAAACCCTATTCTAAAACGCCCTACATTTGAGCCCGAGTGGAACCTTAGAAACCCGCAGAACCACGAAACTACAGAAGCCCCTAGATGGTTTAGGGTTTAGGGTTCTGGGCAGTGTTTTGAGAGCCTGAAAACCCTACACACTAGCAGATTCTGACCCCTTACGTCTGGAACCTAAGCCCTACACTCGACACCCCAAACTTTCAACCCGAAAGCCTAAACCCGAAACCCAAAACCCTAATTATAAACCCTACACCCAAATCGGGTAGTGTAGGGGTTTTAATAACTACCTACACGATTTTTGGGGGCTCCTTTCTGCAACTATAATACAACATACCCCAAAACCCTGTTCTAATTAATTAAGGCCCTTATGCCCTAAGCCCTTATAGCAGCCCTTATAGAACCCTTTAAGGAACCCTTTCAAGGAGCCC